AGAAAGGGGAGGCAAGAATAGTAACGGTTGAAAATAACTTTAGTACTTCCAAAAGTAATCAGATTCCTATTTCGATTACTTATTTTACAAAAATTTGCAAAAAAAGAAAAAAACACGAAACAAAGCAAATTGTGATGTTGCACGTTGGCTCAGCTCATCTCAGAACGTCGATTTGACATCGAAACCAAGGCGATACATGGTTTAGCGCTGTAGAGAAGCTATGAGGGAGTTTTCGTAAATCGTTTTCGCCATCCCGCAATGCTCTCCGCAACCCGCTACGATACCTGGAACTCTTCAGTCAAAGCCACCATTGCGGAGGGCTTAGCGGAAGGGGAAACGCGCTCTTCGAAAACTCCCGGGTCAAGAACGAAGTGGAAGCTCCTCCCACCTCTCTCCCCTTTAGCAGAGCGGGCGCTGGAGAGGAGGCGACCTCCTCCCCAGCGCCAGCTCTGCTAAAGGGGAAAGAGGTGGGAGGAGCTTCCACTTCGTTCTTGACATGTCACCGACTGTAGGCCAAAACTGACGCATCACCGGGCCATGGACGCAGGCGTGGCGTCTGCTATTCTAAGAAAAGAGCTTTCGCGCACGCTCAGAACGCATTACATAGCCGACAAACTTGGCATGCAGCACTCAAAAGGCGACGATTTGCACAACATACGGCCCGCGGCCCGACTCGGCGCAGAAAGTTGCGTCTATTCCATTCAATCCGCCGAGCGCTCGCTCCGCTTGGAAAGCAGCAGTGAAACCCTGTGACCTACTTTTCTTAATCTTCAGCGAAGGAAATACTATTTCTCGGTTCAAGTTTTTCCTCTCCATTAATCCCGCTAGCAACTCCAAAACCGCGTGTGCACGCCGTCCCTGTCCATGGCGTGGCTCTGTCTCAGCATGTCCGTACAGGGAACGCGAACACTTCTTGCTCTTTCTTCAACAGATCCCCTTCTCTCTTTCACCACAGGGGCTATCAACCTTCTTCCTTCCTGTTGGGATAGTTAGGAGTTGCATCGTCATATCAGAGGACTCCGATCCGACGATGCAACTGGAGCTAATAACCTCTAGTGTCCGCCAGCGCTGAAGAATATGAATCGCGAATCTCAGCTGCATGAGTTTACACTCTCAAGAAAAAAAGGTGTAAAAGGGTGTATCGTTACACCCTTTGTCTCGTATACTACACCCCCAAACTTCAATTCGACGTACAGCGCCCTATAGTCGAACAGCCGGCCCCACATTTTACGAGGGGCTTGATAGCCGTGTGGTACAACTTACTAAAATAGCTAATCTACGTGTTACTGACTACAAAAAAAATAATCGTTTTTTTTTTGGCCTTACTCTAAAAACTCAGTGTTTTCTTTATGTGGTCTTTGATACGTACTTTAGCTATTTTAATAAGTTGTACTACACGGCTATCAAGCCCCTCGTAAAATTTGGGCCCGTCCGTTCGACTATAGGGCGTTGTACGTCGAAATGAAGGTTGGGGGTGTGTTATATGGGACAAAGGGTGTAACGATACACCCTTTTACACCTTTTTTTCTTGAGAGAGTACAAAAACCTGTACAAGAACAAGTATACGGAAACCTGGTGGACCACGCTTTGAAACTGTCATCTCTTTTTGGGAGCACGTATATGTTTGTGAGCAGACCTTCTCACTGATGACTCTGAACAAGAACCGCCTTCGATCTGCCATGACGGACATGACATTGCGATGACACCTTATATGGGAAGCCTGACCGCAGCCAAAATATGCCACGCGTCGCACTATAGGTGCGGCCCACACAGTTTTCAGTGTACGTAATTTTGTCCCGCCTAATTTTTTAGTTGTGCACAAGAGGTACAGAATTCGATACAAGTCCCGCTTCCAGGCTCTCTACCTTCGCTAACAGTGTGGTCAGCCCACGCGGGAACAAAGCACGAGGGCAACGGGCGCGTGCATGCTTTTTACGGAGTTTCTATCGCGTAATTTAACCTGTTATCTACTTTAGAAGCTTGCAATATTTGACGCTTATCATGTAAGTTCGATTTGCGTATGAGTGGCACGCCGTGCACTGCAGATGCATATGCTCCGAGCAGGCACGTATAGGATTTTGTTTCGGGGGGGGGGGGGGGGGGGGGGGGGGGGGGGGGGGGGGCGGGGGGCGGACGCCCGCTTATGGCAAAATGCTGTGGGAGAGGAGGTCCCAGCAAAATGGAAGATTTCGAGGGGGGGTCCGGGCCCCATGGGCCACCCCCCTGGCTACGTGCCTGGCTCCGAGTTGTAATGTTTCGTTTTTCTTAGCAAAAAGAAAAACTTTATATAAAAAAAAAAATTAAACTAAATAATAAAGAGAGACACAAAGTTGTTTATGGGCACAGAAATAAAAAAAAAAGGTTATTATTATTATGATGACGTTGAAACATTAGAGGACTCCAAACAAAGCTCGCGCCCAAGTTTTTGTTTGTTTTAGGTCGCGAGCGAACACAATGCAGTCGTGCAAACCGACCCAAATGTAATAAAAGATACCGACGAAGATAAACCAGTGACTGGGTAAACAAATCTGACCAGTTCTTGAAATGCTCGAGAGGTTATGCTAGAAGGCAGTGTTGTACGGAACGGCGTTCCTGGAACGCGTTTCAACGAAGGGACGCCGCCGTTCCATTTTTATCGGTGGAACGGGAACTCGTTAGTTACATTTTACTCAAACGGAACGGCGTTCCTTTTTTTTCTTTTGTCCAGTGGGGTAATCTTAAGACATTTCTAAGAGGGTAATTAAAAAGAAGTGTAAAAAACAATATAATTACGAAGAGCAGGGTCTGGTTCACTTTTAGTTACTTATTTTGGAGTCGGATGCAGAAAAGCTAGGGGAGATCGATTTCTTTTTTTTTTTTTTCAGTGCCCGAGACTGCAGTACAAAATGCAAATCTTTTAGTCGAAGAAAAAGACACTGAAAGCGGGACGTTTCAAACTCAGCTACTTTCTTTGCTACCACGAAACCTCGTACACCCAGATATCTAAGGCCGACTGCAGCCATCACTGAACTTCCACAAAGAGACCTACAGTTACAACAAAAGAACAGGTTCCCAGACATCGAACACGCCCTTGTATCCCAAAAATTGGTCACTAAAAAAATACACAAAAATTAACCTTTATTCTTTGTCCCCTTCAACCCGAACAAAGAATTCAACCTTCACTAAGAAGGACTTGTAGTTTTGAAGACTGCACTTCCAAAACCCCTACCCTCTTCTTCACTTGCTCGTTTTTCGGACAACAACATCGAGAAGCAACTGTGAACAAGAGAGTTTGTTCGATTGAAACGTGTGAGGTTGTTGCAAAACGCTCGAGCAATGACGGCTAACAGTACATTTGGCTCGTCTGAATCGCTCACCAGAAAGATGACTATGGTTAAAAGCTGATATTTTTAAAGGTGATATATCAACAAATGAAACCCTGCTTCCACAATTGTTTTCTTCTCCTGGTGCCCTTTCATCACGGCATTCAAAGTCGTGTGTTCCGATTTGATGGGATAGATAAAAAATAAATATTCCTTGATCTAACAAAAATATGATATTCACCAAAATGCAAATGTAACGTATATGTGTACGATACGTTCCATTTTTTTTTAACTGTAACGGAAACGAGTTATTTTCTAACAAATGGATCTGCAACGGGAACGCGTTCCAAAAATCAGAAGGAACGAGGAACGATCTTTCGTTCCTTTTTTTTTTTTCTTTTTGGTTTAGGAACGTGTACAACACTGCTAGGAGGTCGATGGCGTTCCCTTTTCACGTAGACTTTCAACGGATCGCTCTCCGGCACAGGAGATTCGATTGTCTCTTCACGGAGATGCCGATCCCCCATCTTTACCCCTTTCCTGTCTGCTGTCTGTGTTGCACGTTCTTGAAGCACGATCTTCTCTTTTGCGAAACAATAGGCGTCCTACATACCGCTTGACGATGCTCTGGAGCGGAAAAAAAGAAGGAAAAAGAAGACTGGTAACAGAAACAATAAAACAAACTTGGGATGAGGGACGACGAACATTTCGATGAAGAGTTCTATAATAGGCACTTGTGCGTGGGATGTTACGGAGGCGCTCAATAGCTCGAGCTCTGACCGAGTAGAGTAGCTTACCGCATCCGAAGAATAAGAACTTTGGAGTGAAACACACGTGGCGGGAGCTCAGTGGGAGTAGGTAGGCCCCCCAAGGAGGTTGATGGGGTACACGATTGAGTCAGAAAGTCGTCTTCGAAGATCGCATTGCTAACCTTCACATACGGTAAATCTTGAAATGTCTGACTTCAGTTTTTGCATGGCATCCGAGATCCCGAAACGGGATTCGGAGGCCATGGTTTTTCTGGCATATTTTTTAGCAAACAAATACAATGCAATCAATCAATCAATCAAGCAATCATTTAGGCAATCAATCAATCAATCGACTGGTCAATCAATCAATCGGTCAATCGATTGATCAATCAATCAATCACCGTCAACAGACATACAAACAAGCAAGCAAATATGTGTCAATTAAAACAGTCCTGAGAGATCTTTCGAGTTGCATGTCCTTAATTGCTGAAAGCAGTGAAGACCATTGACACCACAAGTATCAAAATATGTTTAATGACTATCAGACCAACGGTGAAATTTATCTATTCCGCAGAATAACTTGGAATTGCGCAAAGGAGCGTTCTTTAGAACACAAATATTATTTCGTTGACAATGTCGCCGCTAAAAAAATATAAAAATAAAATTCACTAGCTCACACTTTATGTCAACATTGAAAAAAAAAAAAAAACATGTCGCTAAACGCACACTGTTGTTTGAAAATCAACATGCATTATTCTTGTCGTAGAGCGAACGGGAAAGAAAAGTTTTCCAAGTGAGCGGCCCGACCGAAAACCCGCGGGAAAACTGATGCACCGACGCGATTGGACGGGCGAGAGCCACGTGACCCTTAGCAACCAATCAGTTCGCCGCGGAATGGGCGGGCCACGCGCGGATCGCGCCCGCAGCAGGCGCTCTCGCTTCTCCGCGCATTTCGCGTGTGATGCTCTCCGCGAGCGCAACGACATCCCATCAGACGTTTCAACTTTCTTTCCTGGACTATTTTGACGAGTTTTCAGTACCATGACACACACTATATTTATGTGGTGACATTTTACAGCAATACGTGTTCTTGTGAGAAGGTCCCCGTCGTCTGCGCGTCACCCGCTTTCTCTTGACGCGCGTCGTCTGCTACGAACGCCGTACTCGTCGTCTGCTACGGAAAGGAGCCTCCACGCACGATCGGATTAAGTGTCTTTGTGTTCGTCCTGCGCTTCCTCCGGATGGTGTGAACTCTTCCGAGGAACACTGCTCGCAACGTCACGAGTCGATTGCGTTTATTCAGGCAAACTTAGCCGAACTAGCGAGGCGTAGCGCCGACCCAGCGCGAGCATGGGCAAACGGCCGCGCTCGGCGATCGCCACGGCGGTCCCTTCCGCGCATGCGCCAGCCCGCGGGGCCAAGATGGCCGCCCACTTGGCAGCGTTGACTGCCGACGGTGGAATACCACTGTTTACCCGGAAAATCGGCGACTTGAAAGCGGTGAGTGTCCCCATTCGTACTCGTAAGTGTCCGGTAATGAGGTCGAGCACTCGTTTGGTCCGGCACAGGGCGTCGTAATCGAACGGGGGAAGTCCGAAGAGTCGGCGGCGTTCGGCGCTGCCGTCCCAGGCCGTCCCTATCGCGAGAGTTTGAGGACAAACTCGGAAACAAAGTTTTTTTTGGGGGGCCCGAGGCTGCTCGCTGGGTCGCGTTTATTTGGGGTACGTTTATTGCCGCATTGTTTTCGGAGTGGTGCGAAGGGTGGGTCGGGCGGTTAAAAATAGTTTTTTTTTTGGCGGCGCTAACCGCCGACGCGAGAGCGCAGGATGCCAGCGTCCCGTAGACTGCACGCGGATTTTCCGTTTCATTTATCCGATCTTCTTTTATCTTCAGAGGCGGGCCTGTCCGACGGAATTAAGCTTGTTAGCGAGTGAATCGCTGCTGCTACTTTTGGCCACCGGTGTACGTCGTTAAATCGAGAGGTTACTTCTTTAGTGAACTTTTTTGTGTGCGTTGTTGCCCAAACTTGTTTGTGGGATTCCCCCACGGCTTGTGACGTAGCGGATGACGCTTTTTTGTCGCGCTCCGTTTAATTCGGCGTTTAAAGGAACGTTACAGAGTTGTCGTTCCGTCAACTTTGTAATAGTGTTCAAACCCCCCTTCCTCACCCCCCCCCCCCCCCCTAAAACTTTTTTTTATAACAATGCAGCTTATATGTTATCGTTCGCTTCCCCACTACAAGATAAACCGATCGTGTCTACCAGAAGAAAGCTTCATTCTCGTTAACTACGACAACAACACAAACATATATACGCGGGAAGAGTGATAATAAGCCACACACAGTGTTTCTTAAACTGTCGGTGACATTTTAGGATTAAAAACACAAGAGTGGTATAATCTGCCCGACAGTAGTTTTGAGTTCACATTACTGTCAAACACTCTTCGTAGTGGTTAGTAAAAGACTTGCTTTGTTACAATAAATCGAACATCGTGTATTCCAAACAGTTGCGTCACCGTTTTGGCTCTAATTCGCCTCTTCGGTGGTTATTAAACGCCCGTGTGAGTAACCGCTAGCGTCAGTTAAGTAGGTAATGTGGCTTCCCCCCGGGTAACTGAGCCGCACCATATAGAAACAGCGTCAACGTCACGTATACCTCACGGGATGGCTTCTATGGCGTTCTATTAAAGGACCTGTGTGGCTGTCGCATTAGACGAGCCAAACCATTGCAGTCTCCTCACCGGATTGCTCTCCTGTACGGTAATCGGGTGACCCCCTTGACATTCCACAATGTGAGCGATACAAGGACTGCCTGAAAAGTAAACATTTCGGCAGAGATCTGCCTGGTTAGGTGAGTATTAAATAAAAGAAGCTGGAAGTACTCTAACGAACTGTGTTGAAATAGCCCGACGTTTGGCGGCCTGCTCGACCGCTTGTTCACCGGTGACTTATTTGCCTGGGTGTTCGTCTTTCTCTTCTCCTTGTCGCTGCCGTTTAAATCGTCGTCTTCTTTTTGTGACACCTCCTAGCCCGTGAATATAAGTGCTCGGGAGTATACCTATTGACCGGTTCAGGTTGTTTTTTTTTTGTATGTTGAATATGCCATGACTCTAAAAAAAGTAGCTTTTTCTAGTTTCTTTCGGTGTCTAATACGAAACTGCTGTCGAAGTCGACGACGTGGTTGCTCTTTTCTGCATGTTCCTCCAGGGCGTTACCTTGTATTCCCCTCTTTTTTTTTTTTTACATCATATTAGTGTCTGCATAGACCTTCGCGGAGGTTCTTGGTTTCCCCCACATATGAGGCGTTGCAATGGGCGAAAGGAATACGATAAACAAGGCCTCGGGCTTTTTCTTTTGGATGACGATCTTTCCATTCCATCTCTGGATGTTTCTGTTAAAAAAAAAAAAGGCAACATTTTGACATTCCGTGTGTACAGAAAACCAACGCACATCGGACGATACCTAAATGTTTTATCAGACCACCCCAGATCTCACAAATCTTCAGTTGTTTCGGCACTGTTTCGACGTGCCATCACAGTGTGTTCCACAGATAAGGCACTTAAAGAGGAGCTTGATATAAAACGGGACCTTCGAAAAAACGCATATCCAACAGGATTCTTCAACGATATCTACAGGAAACTTCGTCACCCCTCTGCAGCCGAGGAAACTCATCCCACCAGTCGCATGTGCATCCCGTACCTCGGGGGCACGAGTGAAGTTCTCACCCGTGCTCTCAAACCATAAGCCCGTCTCGACCATTGGCCATCTCTTCCTCTTCCAAAAGATCGTCACCCAAAAGAAAAAGCCCGGGGCCTGCGCTGGCCAATTAGGCCGTGTTTTGCAAATGTACCGCGGCGATAGCCAAGGCGCTCGACACAGTTACACTGCTTAAATTTCGCAGACGGCGTTCATGCGACACTTCGACGTCACATCACGCCATGGCGTCATGTGATGCTCTGACCTTACGTGGCGCCAAAACGCTAAATAAAACTAAATTCCCGCTAAACTCAGCAAAAAAAAAAAAAAAAAAATCATGCTCAATGTAACGAAAATGTTTTAACGTCACGTAACATTATGACGTCACAACGTAAGAGCACCTATTTCACGGAAAATTGTGACGTCATGTGAGACGAAGTCCCGTAGCGACACTGTGATTCCGGCTATAGTCTTAGCGAAAGCATGTTCCCGCTAAATTTGGCGGATCATTTTTGCCAATAAGTTCAGCGGACCACGACGTGCGTACACGGGATCCGCTGCAAAACCTCTAGCTGACAGGTGTCATGCACCTCCAAAGAGGCATCTGAGGCGTATATAGTAGGCGGCGCGGATTATTTTTCTGTCCAGTGACAGCTTGATGTGCCATTAGGTGGCTGTCGCATTGAACGGCGGCGGGAACTGAACAGCTTTCTGGCGGTGGCAACCAATGCCTTTATGGTAATCGGCCCCTATTGTTCTCTCCCATACGGGTGCCGCGAGGGCGGGCGCATCGGCATTGCGACGCTCAGACTTTCGACATCGTGCCGGACGGTGCTCGGGATGGCCTTCTCTCTGGGTGCCTCCGATGGTGCAGGAGGATGCCTCGCTGATACTTGATTACTAATTAAATTATAGAGAGACGGGCGTTTCAGATGATACACTTGTGCCGAACAACAAAGACTATCTTTGCTTTAATTTTAATGTGATTTATCTCGTCGGTTATCGCGAGCAAGCGTATATGATTAGTGTTATTAATTATAATAATAATATATTCGTGAAAAAAAAAAAGAGAAAAAAGCACACTGAAGGCACAACGCAGGTTCGTCCAAGCCACCAAGCGTTAGGACTGAACTCACTGAACCGATGTTACAGTGGTATCACAGAAAGCAGAGAAAGAAAACAAAAGAAAGTTGTTGACTTGACAAGAAACTTTACTGCAGATCTAATTCAAAAACTTTGTTTCATATGATATATAAAAAGTGAAAGACGTTTACAACCTCCTGTGACGCCGATTTAGAGCGCAGCTCTTGAGGAGGAGGAGGGAAGGCATGCTCCTCATCCGTACCCTCTCCCTTTTCTTTCACGGGCGGAACGCGCGTCGTCACGCGACGTTTTGGCGCGGTGCCGAAACGTCACGTGACGTTTCGGTGGAAGTCACGATGACATTTTGGCACGTCACTTACACCGAAACGTCACGGTGGAAGTTAGGAAACCACGAAAAGGACACGATGCACAATGTGATTTGTATATCACTATTGAATAATATCCCATTACGTCAGACGTTTCAGGGCACTTCCACGTTAATACTAGTAACAATAATACTAATGCCGTCTTTATTTGCTGCCCAGAACGACTGTACGGTTTTACCGTGCTACATACGATAGAAAAATATGACAAACCATACGCCCGCTGCACTGCACAACCTTCCCCCCCCCCCTCTATTTGGGTTCTGTTCGAATAGCAACCCCAAATAGTTTACCGGCTTGGAAGATTTTGCCCAGAATCTTCGTGTAATTAGACTAAAAAAAATCAACGTATAATCTAATTCAACGTGTAATTAGAATAAAAAAAAAAAAAAAGCCGATAAATTATTGGCATAAATTCGCATGCTCGTGGCATTTCTCCAGAATATATGGGTGGCTAAAATAAGCAAGCGCACGTGTCATTGTGCTGTTATCGAGCATGGCCCTTATTTATTCAATAAAGAAAAACTAGTATTATTTATTCAGTAAAGAAAAACTAGTATTATTCTTTTTATCGAAGAATCCTTGAAGGCAGTCTCGTTACCTTTAGTAAGTGGCCCGAGGTACAGCTCAAGTAAAACACGCGCAAAAACACTTTTTTTTAGTCGTTTATTATACTATTATTAATTTTCTTGATAGATGCGATGGCAATTTGGGCTGGTCCGGGGGATCGGTGGTCGAGTGGGCTAGCGCACACCAGCTTGGAGCACGTGGAGCGAAAGCTCGCGCTGCAGAACCCAGGGATCCTGGGTTCAATCCACACCCCTTCCCGTTTCGATCTGCATGGATAAGCATCGTATACCGGCGTGTGGTCGTGCACTTTCACTTGGTACACGTTAAAGACCTCCCATGGGCTAGCGGTTGTACCGCACTGGCTAAGTTTCTCAACAGCTGAGACATCTGCGCTACACCTATAGCTGGCTAACCTCTGGTCGTATAAACATACAACACAATTAACTTTTTGGGGCTGGTCCAGTTTTTCTTGCTTGGATTAGCCAAGTAAAGCACGCCTAGCACCAGGCTAGTCGTACTGCATTCGTTTCATGTTTCATCTAATGCGTCCTCGCCGTAAGCACTGCGAAATCTGGAGTTTCTTGCAAAGTATTTGAGAAAGCTACTCTTTGCAACCTATGGAGGAAGATGGGCGAATGACAAGCTTTCTACACAAACAGAAGCCGTCTCTTGGCTCCCAAGAGAATTTCAGTCTCTCCGTTTCGGCCGTCCTTCCGAACCTGCTCGTGTAGAAATTCCTGGGTCGATGAAGTTCCAAGAAAAACACGAAG